TTTCTTGCTAGTACTCATCTATCTCATCCTCACTAGTGTATGTGTAGTACGGGGGAACACCAACCCAACCCGGATCTCTCCCCAGCCCCACAGCAGTGGTGCGAGAGCAAGGCTGTACCGGTCCCTCCCCCCCAAACCCCACATGGCGGTGTCTAGTGGCCAATATTGTCGCTGCATAGCAACCAACAACATCAACCAAGGTCCTGCCAATGCTCTAGCCTCCCCCCCTACTGACCGAGATACCCTTCTCCACTCTACAGACTCTTACCTCTGTAAAGGCGTTACATGATTTGGCTTCAACTGCATTTATTTTTTATTTTTTTTCCACCTGCGTGTTTCCCTTTGACACTCTCTAGCCTCCCCCCTACTGACCGAAATGCCCTGGTCCACTCTACAGACTCTACCTCTGTGAAGGGGTTACGTGACTTGGCTTCGACTGCATTTATTTTATTTATTTTATTTATTTTATTTATTTATTTATTTATTTATTTATTATATTTTTATGTCCACCTGCGTTGCTTGCATTTTCTTCTTTTCGGAAAGACCGTTTGGACCGGGAGGCACTACTCTCGACATGCACAAAAGACAAAAATCATGGCCGTGTATCTTTCCATGGTCTAGTGGAAGATTCCTTCTCGTTTTGCACATCATGCATACATATTGGAACATTCCCACTGTGGGCCTTATCTGCCCTCCACATGCACAAAAGACAGAAAATATGGTGTCGCATCTATCCGTGTTCTAGCCCAGGATTCATTCTCATGTTCTGCATGTTTGGTGAGTAGTGGAGCGAGTCAAAATCCGAAGAAGAGGAACCGGATGCACGGAAATACTATGGGCTGCAGGCCCGCGTGCTTGCGGTACGTCCGTGCAGAAGAACGCGAGAAAGGATGGAATCAGTTAGGGGACCAGCTACAGCCAGTTGGAAAACGATGTGATGGGCATAACTGGCAGAACTGGGTAAGAAGGTTGTAGGACAATTTAGGGCCTGAAACAGGTTGAACTGGGATAGGCGAGGTCGTGCGTATATAGCCGAATGGTAATACGGGATGAACGAGGCACTGTACGAGGTGTAATAACAGGATAGAGACAGCTGTTCCTTCTGCCCCTCCTCCCCCCCCCTCGCGTCCCACCACCCTGGAGGTGACCCTGTTTTGTGACTGGGTGCTGCTAGCAAGCCTCCCGACCAGCAGGGCACCCCCTAAGGAAGGCCACGAACTGGGGAAGGGAATCCATGTAACAGTCCCCACCTTCCCAGGCGGCTAGTGCCACAAGGGATGGCCTGATCTTCTTTCTTGTCTTTTCCCCCCATCATCTCTTGGATGTAAAAACAATTTAAAACATGAACGGTGTGGGTGGTTGGGAAAAAAAAAAAAAAAAAAAAAAGGAAAAAGGAAAAGAAATCCTGCACCAACTGGCGTAAGCTCATTTGGTACAAGCCTTGAACTGTTGAAGGTTACCGGAGTGGCCCGGGGTCACTTTCCCGGCCAGGCCAGAAAAGTAGAAAGTTTAAATAACAAATATTTTACAGTTTAATAAGAGTTTATTAACTTTATATTATATTTTAAATTTGGTAAAGAATATCGATGTGTCCCAGAGGCAAAAGTTGTTCGGTCTCTTGTTCTGCATAACATAGTTTTTTCGGTTTTTTTTTTTTTTTTTTTTTTTTTAATGGGACCTTCCCTTGTCCTTGCAACGGGCTGGCCACCCGGGACCCGGGCGGCCCGGCTGGCAGCCTAGTGAAATACAAACGTGAGTTCTCTTTTTCCCCCTGCTTTTTTGGGAAAACAGTCCTGAGTTCAAATTCACTGATAGCAGATGAGTTAAATCAATAAAATTACTAAAATTTGCAATTAAAAAAAAAAAAAAAATTGTGAATTACCTTAGGGCGGGGGCCTCGTCCCACATGCACCATTTAGTTAGGCCAGCTCAACGGTGTGACACACCAAAAAGCCTTTTTAAAATCGAAAACAAATGGAAAAATAAATGAAAATGGCATTTCTAGTATTATTCTGTTTTTTTTTTTTTCACAAATGTTTTGTATATCATGGACATGTCATTATGACGACTCCCTACAAAAAAAGGAAAGTTTTGTACATGTACCTGGACCCCAGATGCGACCCCACCCATGTCACCCTTGTGCAGCAAAGATCTGACTTATGTGACTTGCGCGATCGGCCTGTCGGTTCGTAGGAGTATCCAAGGAACGTGGTTTCGATTCCAGCCACATACAGCCCCGAAATGCCAAGCATATATGTCCCGCATATATGTCCTATTGTGAAACGGCTGGCAACAGTGCGTGTGTCAGCCGGAACATGACGGAAGGCCTCAAAACGGTCTGACACCTCGCAATGATGACGAAAGCCAAAAAAAAAAAAAAGTAACGCAACAAAAAAAAAAGAGCACGGAGCGTTGAGCTAGCTGTCTCCTTTTTTCGAGACAGCTAGCTCAACGCAAACGGCGAAGGGTAGGGGCCATTGTAAACGAGGGGTCGGATTTTTGGAGGCATTTCCCGACACCAAAAAAATGAGCGGTTGGGAGGAATACCACACGTAACTAAAGTCGACCGCTGGATGTTCACAACACCTGCCATCGCTGGCATCGCCCTGAGTCGCACGTGATAGAAAACCCAACGCTGAGATGGCTCAACGGTGCTAGTGGGACGAGGCCCCCGGTCAGTTCAATGGTGACATCTCAAGGCCATCGCCCTTTTATACATTTTCTATGAGGGAAAAAAAATAAAATGCAGTCCCACAGCCATCTTTCACAAATTTTCGCTCGCTGCTACGAGTAGCCGGTAGGCCCAAAAATGGTGTTTCCTTTATCTCTTTTCGCGGTCAGTTCTGCAAGCTCGAAATAATCTGCCACCTTGGCGGCTTTGCTAAAAAGGGAGCGGTGGTTCAGGTTTCGGGTCAAGGATGGAAACAAACCCTCTCAAGTTTGGAAGGTGAAATCTACCGGTAGCCCCGTCAGAAGGCACCTGAGAACCGGCACGCACGCACAGGCACATTCTGACCAGGTGCAGTTGTTGTTAAACAGGTCACGAGTTCAATCCTGACCGTTTCACACGTGTAGCAGCAGCAGACCGCAAGGAACACTTTTTCAGGAGACAAAAGGGTAGGCGACTTAGGGAGGAGACCTCCACATGGGTGGCATGTGTGCTTTCTCGGCGAGCCCACCTCAATCGTCAGCTTTCTGGATGAATGGCACACAAATCACCTGATGACAAACAGGTCAGGAAGAGCGCTGACTAATATACACGCAGGGACCTGTCGATAAACAAGTCGTGAGTTCAATCTGGAGTGCGCTGACAAGTAGTGAAGTCCACACAGGAACCTGTCGATAAACAAGTCATGAGTTCAACGATTCAATCCCGAGTGGTATATAGACGTAGCAAGCATGGAGACCCCACAGAAGACAACACATGCTTTATAACAAACCTCCAGATGTGACAGCTGTGTGACTGAAAGAGAACACATGGCACCTGTCCAGATGTGACACCTGTGTGACTGAAGAGTACACATGGCAGCTGTCTATAAACAGCTCACACGTTCAAATTCTCAAGGGGTGCACACAGCTGTTGATAAACACCTCTTTTTTTTTCTTTTTTTCTTTTTTTCTTTTTTTCTTTTTCTTGGACCTTGATTTTGTATTTTTTTAAGGAAATGTTTGGCAGAAAAAGTCTGTTGATAAACACCTCTCCAATTGGAATCCTGCAATTCCGTTCAGCAGACACCCTTTTTAATGGTACACACATGTAGCACCTCACGAGTTCAAATCCAAGAATGAAACACCTATGTGGATCGTGATAAACAGGTTGTCAGTCCCCATCCCATATACCGATAACAAAGTCGGCACTGTGCTGTCTGTGATTTTCCACGTGGTCATTTCTACACATAACAAAGTCGGCACTGTGCTGTCTGTGATTTTCCACGTGGTCATTTCTACACAGTGCCCCTCGGACGACACGAACCAGCTTCTGAACTCGTGATGAATGAAAAGAAAACGTTGGAGAGAGAGAGAGAGAGAGAGAGAGAGAGAGAGAGAGAGAGAGAGAGAGAGAGAGAGAGAGAGAGAATGTGCCAGAGTACATGTTTGCTGAAAGTTTGATTGTCAGCAGGAACTCATTTTCGAGGCCTGGTCACGGAGGTGGGATTGTGAATGCAGGGTATTACAGACCAGGCGTGATTAGTAGTCTCCAAGATGAGACAGCAAGCAATGGCAGCAGCCACAACCTGCCGCAGGGCTGTGCCATCGGAGTGTCATGCATGACCCTCGCATGTTTATATTGTCCGCTTCCTGAGGAGAAAACTAAAACGAGGAGAGGACTATCATATTATAATGTGCGATTTCTATAACGATTATGCTGAATGGTTTCACATCGTCTCTTCTTTCCCTGCTGTCATTCCCCTCTCTGCCCATTCACCTATGGTCAAGAAATGAAACACCCATACATTGTATTCGAGGACGAAAAAAAACTGCTCCTACCCCTGGCCCATTTTGTCCTGCGGGATGGATACTGTTCGCCGCCTTTTGTATCCATGATATATCAATCCATGAGAGAACCCACCCAAAAAATGAAATCCCAACGACAATACCGCAACTTCATTCCCATTTCATCACAACAAGCGTGCAAGAAGTGGCCAGACTGGGTAAGGACAGAATGGGAGGAGAGCAGAGAAAGCTGGGATGCCAGAGTGAGGGCAGCACGGGGATAATATGCAACTGTGAGAACGATCAGACCTTCGATGGGATTACAGAAAAGAAAAGAAAAAAAAAAACGAGAGAGAGAGAGGAAACAAAGAAAAAAAGAAACCTTCCTTAAAAAAAAAAAAAAATTAAATTAAAAAAAAAAAAAAAAAAAACCCTTCAGTGGCGAAAGAACTGCAGAAAAGACCAAAGGAAAGCAAATGACAGTGAAGGAAAGCAAAGGAAAGCAAAAGACTCGATTGAAGGGCCAGGATGAGAATACGCTGTTCAAGGGAAAATGATCCCACGAGTACAGTGTTCAAAGCTAAGCTCCCCCCCCATTCCCTCCCTCTCCCCCGTCACCTCAGCCCTGCACCACCCCACAAACACGCACACAAAAACATGCTGGCCTTCATATATCCAGATTCCAGACCTATGTCCCTCTCACACTTGGTATGAGTAATCACAAACGCATTCAACGATTCACATATATTCTACATCAAGGAATATTCAGCCATTTGTCAGACCAAACACCATTTCCACATTACATAATTCCGCCCGCCGGGGCACTTTGCACCCGGCCACCTAATCTGGACGTTGCAGAACTTGCGCAATCACCTCGTCAATCCCCATCTTGCTCAACCATTATGAACACTGCCAACCTTTCCCCTCCCCCCCGCCTCTCTCCTCCTCTCTCTCTCTCTCTCTCTCTCTCTCTCTCTCTCTCTCTCTCTCTCTCTCTCTCTCTCTCTCTCTCTCTCTCTCTGTCTGTGTGTGTGTGGCTGGATTGAATGTCAACCTGTGGAAGCACCCTATGTAACTATTGGACAAATTGCATCAGTTTTTTTTTTCTTATACTTCAATTACACCCTTTCTCTGTGTGTGTGTGTGTGAGTGGATCTGAGATATTCTGTGTACGCAGGGAGGCTGTCACGATCTATTGTGACATAGACACGGGAAGAGGATAAGCTGGGGGACAAGAAGAGACCCTTACCCTCACACTATTGGCCTTACACTCTGGCCGGAAAGTCTCTACTATCTCTTTTTCACATGCCGCTTCCCCTCTTCCCCACGGCAAAAGAGGCCATGTTCAAGGGCAGACAGTGAGAAGACTCTTTTCCTCCTACCCATGAACACGGCAAAAAAAAGGCCAATAAAGCCGCCACCCCCCCCCTCTTTTGCGTTCATCCAGTCAGTCTTCAAACACTTTGAACATAACAATGCAGCAAAAGGAGTGCAGTCACTTTCGTTCACCAAATCCACCTCAGCCATAAGGAAAAACAAGGAAAAAGGCAGAAGGGGCTTTCGATGGAGTCCCCGCCAAGTCAACATCCTCCAAATCGGGGAAACCACCAATATCCATTCTACCTCCCTCCCCTCCCTTCCTGCATTTTCTTTTTTTCATTCAAACCCACCCGACACCCCCTCCCTCTCTCACAACCTACCTATTTTCGGGACTCTATTTTTTCTGTAAAAAATTGCATGCACGGAGGCCCAGCCTATATGTATGAACGATTATCAAATGGATGGGACAAATAGGCCACAGCTGGGACACATGGGCCACAGCTGGAACAGATAGGACTCAGCTGGAACAGATGAAACACATGGAACAGATGGGACACATGGGACACATGGGGCACATGGAACAGATGGCACCAGCTGGAACAGACGGGACAGATGGAACACATGGGACAGATGGGAGCCTCCCTCTAGCGAATATCTCTTCCGTAGTAATCAGCCCTTGGCCTTCTGCTGCTGCACGGCCACCGCAAAAAGAGGAACAGCGATCCCAAATCCCAATCCTCCAAATACCAACAACCCCATTTTCAGCTTCCTATTCTTCATGGATGGAAGATCGTACATATGCTCCGCATGCAAATAGGCTGGTTCATCCCCATAGCCGCCGCTGGCTTTCGGTTTCGTTCCAGTCTGAAAGGAACGAGTTGCAACTCTGCGAGCGGGGGCTGATGCGGCGAGCCGCCGCATCGATCCAGCCACAGCAGACGCCATTCCGCCCTCCTCCTCCCACTTCCCTCAACGAGACCGGACCAATTCACCCACTGCCGCTGACCCCCAACGTTGACAAGCTCACTTCACTCTTTGGCGATGGCAATTTCACCCCACCTCACCTGCACAAAATCGTTTCAGTCATGTTAGGCCAAATAAAGAAAGAGAGAAGAAAGAAAAGAAAGAGAGAGGATAAGAGAGAAAAAGAGAGAAAAAGAGAGAAAAAGAGAGAGAGAGAGAGAGAGAGAGAGAGAGAGAGAGAGAGAGAAAGCACTGGCTTCTCTTTGGCAATGGCAGTTTCACATCACTCCACGTGCACAAGAATGTTTTCAATCGTGTTAAGCTAACAGAAAAGGAAACGAGAGGGAAAGAGGGCGGCAAAGAGAGGGAGAGAAGGAGAGGGAGAGAGGGAGAGAGCGAGAGAGGGAGCGAGGGAGAGAGCGAGAGAGGGAGCAAGGGAGAGAGCGAGAGAGGGAGAGGGAGAGAGGACATTCTCTGGGAAAAAAGAAAGAGGAACGCTGAGCTCTGAGAGGGACAGAGGGACAGAGAGAGAGGACACACTCTGGGCAAAAAGAAAGAGGCTAAAAATAAGGCCGACCTCTGTATCTGTTCTTAATCACTGCACGAGGCATATTCACACTGCCGGCTTCACCCCAATACAACGTACAGTCATTATTGCTGTAAAGTTGCCCCAGACACAGCCGTAATGACCGTCCTTTGTATTCGGGTGAAGACTGGCAGAATGTTTTCGCCAAAATCTAGACGCATATTGTCCAGAAAAATGCTTGTGTGCGCATATGCCCTAAGAAAATGAGCCACTCCTAAAACTACTACGAGCTATAAATAGATTTCTGTTTATTTTGACTCGAGGAGGCAAAACTGACAACCATACCCATTGTTCTTTTTTCCAGGGGGGTGGAGAGATGACAGTTGACGGGGGATCTGATTTGTCGTCTGTCCTTTCGTCTTTTGTCCTTTGGCCTTTTCTCCTCCTTGTGCCTTCTCTCCCCTTTTTGTCTTCTCTCCCCATTTTGTCTTCTCTTGTCTTCTCTCCCCCTTTTGTCTTCTCTCCCCCTTGTGTCTCATTTTATCATTATTTATTTAGACTGCTTTCTGTGACCATTTTCTTCCTCGAACTACAGTCTTCCCCCGAATACAACGTACGGTCATCAAAGCTGAATTTAGACCGAAAGATACACCAAATTCAGCTATAGTGACCGTACGTTGTATTTGGGGGAAGACTGTAATCACCCGTTATTCTGGTGCGCCCTAACCCCGTGTCCTCTTCCCTCATGGACATGCACGCTGGATAAGAATGGGCGTCGCTCCACTACTACTCTCCACATGCACAAAAGACGAAAAACTAGGCTGTGTATCGTTCCATTTTTTAGCAGAAGATTAGCACATTTCGTGAGCAGTGCAACGAGGCCCAATGTCGATCCGTTTTTGGGTTAACGAAGAAAAACGGAGTGATAGAGGGGGACAAAAAAGCACACGGGGAACAGAATGAGGAAGGGGAGGGAAAGAACAAGGAGAAGACGACGATGGGCGCCCGCAACGTCGCTGCCATCTGTAGGTCCACCGAATACATACCGGAACAGTCTTCACTCTAGTCCTCTTGAATGAGTAATAAAGTAATAATGACAATGTCGGAAGAAAAGGATGTCGTGGAGCTCGACAGAAACAGCGGACGAATACAACTCTCTCTCTCTCTATCTATCTATCTATCTATCTATCTATCTATCTATCTATCTATCTCTGTCCATCTATCTATCTGTGTGTGTGTGTGTACGTGTGTGTGGATGTGCGTGTAGCATAATGCGGCCTGACAAACTACCGACACCGGTTCTCAAACCAGTGTTGACTCTCTTCTGCGCCACCATTCATGTCGTCAAAAAGCCCTCTGCAAAGGGCAAGCGGAAGGAGTTCTACGAGAAGAAGGAAGATATGGAAGCCATGGAAACGTCGGACAACAGAGAGGGGGAGGAGCAGTAAGACAAAGAGATGCAGAACGGATTGACGACCTGGGGAACGCGAGCGCTAGCCGAAAGTTAATGAGAGGAGAGTGAGGAGGAACACGGCAATGATGGAGATTTCCTCCCTTGCGCTTTCCTCCCGTCTAGTCGATTCATTTCTGTCAGCTCTTCGCCTTTCCAACCCTCTGCCGAGGCTCCTGCCCAGCCGTGTGCTCTTCATCCTCTCCGAGCCTCCGCCAAGACTCTCCCTGCCAAGCTTCCTGCTCTTCATCTTCCCAAGCCTCTGCCAAAGCGCCTGCGCACGCTTCCAAACCTCCACTAAGGCGTCTGGCCTCTTGCACATCTTTCCAAGCCTCAGCCTTCCTCACCCTCTTCGCCTTTTCCACGATCACCCCACGCCACACTGATGTACCCACGTCATTTGGGTGAAAATGGGAAAGGCGAAGAGGCTTGAAATGAGGCTTAGGCTTGGCCGGAGACTTGGCGGGAGGGGAGGCTTGGCAGGAGATTTGGCGGAAGGTTTGTCCGGAGGTTTGGCGGGAGACTTGGGCAGGAGATTTGGCGGGAGGCTTGGCGGGAGGCTTGGCAGAAGTTTTGGCGGGAGGCTTGGCAGAAGTTTTGGCGGGAGGCTTGGCAGAAGTTTTGGCGGGAGGCTTGGCAGAAGTTTTGGCGGGAGATTCGACAGAAGTTTTGGCGGGAGATTTGGCAGAAGTTTTGGCGGGAGGCTTGGCAGACGGTTTGGCGGGAGGCTTGGCGGGAGGCTTGGCGGGAGGCTTGGCGGAGGTTCAGAAAGACACCATTGCGCACTTGTTTTAGTATTTCTTTTTTTCTTTCAAGGCACGTCCATCCTAATACGTAGGTTGGGTGATAAGAGCAGAGCAGCCCCACCCCCACTCAGCAATTCCCGTACTATAAGTAATCATGGGACCACCGCCTCAAAATTGGCCCACGTTTCCGTTGCATGACATCAACAAACATTTAGTTTTTCGCAATTTGCGACCTGCGCCTCACCATCGCCCCCGCGCGCCCTCCCCCCTTTCCATCCCGCGTAATAAAGCACGCCGCCACGTCTTCCATCCCGCGTAATAAAGCGCGCCACGTCCTCCCAGTCTACGAGGCTCTAGTAACGCCGCCGGTTGCGACCCATCTATACGTATCAGAACGCAGGACAATGAGAACGCAAAACCTTTGATAATACTCTAATAATGAAAATAATAACAATAATACCGGTAATGTATTATAATACAGGTATTATAAATGTAAAATAATGATAATATAGAAAGGACGAGGAAAAACAAAGGGCGAGTGTGGGCAGAAGAGTATGGTTACGGGTGAAGAAACCACAGCCATAGCCAGTCCTCTTCTCCTGCCGGTAGCCATAGCCCAAGCTGAGGACAATGGACAACAGCTGGCAAGGAAGCGATGGACAGGATGAGGAAGCATCCATAGCCAATCTTCTTCTCCTACCGATAACATAGCCATAGCATAGAGGAGGAAGCGATGGACAGGATGAGGAAGGAGACGAGAAAGGGGAGTAAGGGAGAGACAAGCGGATGGGAAGGAGCCAGGAACTCTTGGGGCGGGGGAAGAGAAGCACAACCAAGAAGAAGAAGACAAGCAGGTCGAAAAGGAGGGGGCGGGGGGAAGGAAGGAGAAGGGAGGAGTTAGCGAAGACTAGCGGTGAGGAGAAGGAGAAGACAAGAGGGGGGGGGCAAGGAGAAGTAGAGACGAGGGAAAATTATGATGGCAGAAGAGAAAAGGCCCACCAACGAAATGGAGAGAAGTACTACGAGATAACAGAGAGGCGGCGGCAAAAAGACGGAGAAGATGGGAATTAGGAGGAGGGGAGAAGAAAGAGGAGGCGGTACATAGAACGGGAGGGAGAGAGGAAGGAAAAAGAACAGCAGGAACACTAAAAAAAGCAAAGCAGGGAAGGGGCGGGGGGACGGGGGGGGGAAAAGATCAAAAGGACGAGGGCGGGGAGGGGCACTTACAATAACAAACAAAGAGGACCCCCGAATCGAGGAGGTAAGGAGGAAGGGGAGGAAGGGGAGGAAGGGGAGGAAGGGGAGGAAGGGGCGACGAGCGGGGTGCGCGCGGGAGGGAGGGTATAAAGAAAGCAAGAACTGGGAACAGTAATTGCGACACACGTCACAAGTTTCCAAAGCCAAAAAATAAGGCTACAACAACAAGAAGAGAAAAGGGAGAGGGAGAAGGCAACGCGCGTCGGCCCTCGTTCTACCACTCACTAACTGCACAGATGGAAAATGAATCCCACCATTTTCTACCGCAAGATACAGGCGCCATTTTTCAAATTTGGTGAATGGGTGGAACAAGGAGGGAGACGGAGAAGAAAGCGCATGAAGAAGAGTCGAGGGGAGGGGAGGGTAGAGGAGAGGAGAGGAGAGGAGAGAGGAAGGGACGAGGACGGAGATGGAGAAGAAAGCACATGAAGAAGAGTCGAGGGGAGGGGAGGAGAGGGGAGGGGAGGGGAGAGGAGAGGAGAGGAGAGAGGAAGGAAGACGAGAGGAGAGGAGAGGAGAGAGGAAGGGAGAGGAGAGGAGAGGAGAGGAGAGGAGAGGAGAGAGGAAGGAAGACGAGAGGAAGGAAGACGAGAGGAAGGAAGACGAGAGGAGAGGAGTGGAGAGAGGAAGGGAGTGGAGAGGAGAAGAGAGCAGAGGAGAGGGCTGAAGGACAAGGGAAGCGAAGGTCACTCACTGGCAAGCGAGTCGCAAGGTGGAGATGGCGGGAGAAGAGGAGGAGAAGGAGCAACGCGGACAAACGAGGAAGAAGGTACCTCACACGCTACAGTGTTGGAATATTATAGTATACCTCCGCAAGCTATGGCCGCACTCACTTCGAGAACAAGTGAATGAACGGCTGTCGAGAATTCGACAATTGCCTAACTCCCAAGGACTGGATGCGGGTCCAATTAGGCGGGGCCCGATTTCCAATCAGGCGGGGCCGGCGAAATCTCTACAGCGAAAAAGTTCCACAGCGGATTCCCGCCCTGGCCCAAGTCCCCACGTCGCCACGTTTTCTCTGGTACTGGTAGTTCCTTTAGGGCCCGCCGTCTGCTTGAGACACTGGGCGGGCGCCGCCCCACCTCACCGAATGTGAAAATGAAAAGGACAAAAACCACGGCGCGAGAATCGTTACACGTTTTACGGCCAGATACGCGCTCTATGGCGAGCGATCTTTCCACGTTTAGCGGAGCATTACACGCTCTCGGATCATACTCACACTAGCACCACCTTACATGTATCTGGGCTTAATTACGGCCGGACTTGGATGTATCTGACGGCAATTACACTCAAAAATTCAGTAGAAAAGCCGTAGTGTGTGATGCCCTCCGTGTTGCAAATTCTGGTTGGTCCGGCGAGGCCCACAACCTTCCCGCGCTGTGAGTCAGCCCCTTGCGGCGGGTATCGTGTCCATGCTGACCAAGCAGGAATGGGGGTATACCTTCATCCTCACTCCGCCCACAGCCCATAAATCTAGAGCCTCAGCCGCGCAAGGATACCTTCATGCTCACTCAGCCCACAGCCCATAATTCTAGAGCCTCAACACAAGGGCCAGACCTCAAACACTGGGTTCCTGGTTTCGTTATTCTCCCCACCCACGAAACAGTATAGGGAAACTGTCAATAAACTCCCCAAAGTTTGACAACTTTACCTGTAAAGTCCCCAAAATTCGCCCTTACAACAATAGGTCCTTCAACAGCTCAAATTATCCCAATACCCTAGTAGAACTGTGCCAAATTGTCAATAAGCCCCCCATAAGCCCCGTCATGAAGCGGCCGCAAAACATCCAGGATAGGACGCAAAAACAATAGTCAATATTCAGACCTTTGCTCTCCCGCTCTCTCTCTCTCTCTCTCTCTCTCTCTCTCTCTCTCTCTCTCTCTCTCTCTNNAACAATGTTAGATACAATGACATCAATAGTGTCTTTATATCTAAAAAGGAAAGTTTTGATAAAAAAATAACTTTGTTATTTACGTTGTTGGAACAAAAATCATTAGAAAAATATATGCTCGAGATTTTTTTTATGGCAGACAGTGCCGGCTATCTCCTTGAGTTGAATGACGTTATGAGATTGACAGATCTGTTAAAAATTATTCATACCGTGACCAGACTTATGACCTAGAGTTGACATCGACATGATTTTTACGTATAAGTCGAAATGATATCGGGACCGTGGCTCAGTTATTTTGTGGTTGCTCGCTAACGATATCCGTGCCTCCGCCTTAGTATTCATGGTGAACGTTGCAGAATCATGAACCACTGTGCCAATTATCAATATGTGGGGATGCGTGGAGTTACGTTGCCATAGGAATAATAAGTTAAGCCTAATTTATTAAAAATAAAAAACGCGGATGTTAAGCCGTGCGATGTAGTGTCTAAACAATAAAAAAGTATGACCTCTTTGGGGTTGTGGTTAAATAAGTTGGGCAAAAGGGTTATGCCCAAACCTTAATAATTACTTGTCAGGATTCTACCCCGCTCTTATCCCTTGATGGGCGAGTCCACTGATGTACAGGGTGGGATGATTATATAAACAGAGAGTGGGGCATCAACCCTTTAAAAGGTTCAAGCATCCATCTTGCCGAATCGAGAGCAGGCGGCGTGTTGGGGATGTGTCCTTCATATGGAAGGGGTGCTTTTAATTCATCCGAATTATGAACAATGATCATAGTAGGTAACATGCCAGACTTGCACGCAACAAACATTGAGATCGAATTTGTCTCTGCCCTACTCAGGCTAACTCCTTTTTTTAGCAGCCTGTGGGGTTGGAGCAGTGACATGTGACTGGAACATGAAAAGGAATAAGTTAACTTTTATGGGGGGAAAATGAGCCTAATCTTATTAATTATTTTATATTTTGTATATGTTGTGATTTTATCTAACACCTTTTTTTTACCGCTAGTACCTCATATGTTTTTGGGCCCCTTCTGATACTTCAAGCATCTGCGCAATCATCTTCTTGGTGATTTGGGAAGAACGAAACTCGGTACTCTTCCGTTTTTGTCGACTTGGGCTATCAAGGTTAAAGTGAAGCATAATATTATGATGACGATCAATAGCGACTGGATCTTGAAAAAAAATAAAAATGAAAGGTTTACGACATTACGCTGATTTCAGAGTACATGGCCCAAAAACACTCGGTTGGCTAAGATAATAGGGGATTTGTTATACATCTCGGGGTGACTTTTTGCTGCTTAGTACAAAATTGAACGTTCGGTCTCAACTTCCGCAAGTGGAAGGCATTAGTTGGCATGTATATAGGGTTGGGGATAAAGTTTTATAATGATGAACCGTCTCAAGGTTCCACATGCCTAGGTTAGGGTCTGACAGTGGAGGAAGTCAGGTAAGGACAGTGGTAACCCCTTGGATTTGCAGATCCACGGACCGCCTTAGGAACCTGTATGTGTAAAGGGTGGATGTGCATTAGTAGAGTAGCATTAAGGCCAGGCCTCTTGCTGTGGCATTTAAGGTAGTGAGGCGGAACTAAGAAACTTCATCAACATGATTTTTTGGTAGTTGTACAGTGTAGGTTAGTATATTATATTAGGAGTTAGTGCATTATCTTAAGAAGGTAGTAGTGGACATACCTAAGTAGGTAGATTTGCAGTCAAAAAATTTGTTGGGTTTGTAGTGAAAAACCTATATCAACCTGTAATTTCAGTTGGACGATGCTTTCAGATATATGTTTGAGCCAGAAGTATTGTAGAGGACCCCCACCTTTGAATTCAAGTAATAGAAATTTCAGTTTTAAGAGGGAGAGGAGGGGGAGAAAACTTGTTATCAAGCTCTATTTGTTTTTTTTTTTTAATTGGGAAATTTCCCTCTCTACCCCGTCCCGCCGCCCAAATTGCGTTTTTACCCAGGTCCTGTGCAAGGTTCTCGTTAGACACTCTTAAGAGCATCCTTGGGCTCCGAGAACGAATCATCGGGGACTTCCCGCGGCCTATCTCATACGATTATACGCGGTTGTGTGGTTTGTCCGTGGTGCGATTTGAGATGTCCATCGAGGAGGTGTGCTGGTCCACAGTCGAAGGGCGCAAATACGTGAGGGGCTGTGGAAAAACGAATATGATAACGAGCATTTTAAATTTGATGGTGGCACGGGGACGGCGGTAAGGCAGCACACAGGCAAGTCATTGGAAGGGCACTGCAGGGCGCGTCGACGATATTAATCCACATTTGCGTGCCACCTTACGTGAGCACCCTGCAAGTATCTCGCCCTCCCTCCCACCCTCACCGACGACTGTTGGAAGTTGTCACTTGCACTTGGATTGATGAACATGGTATGTGTGACGACCAACCCACTGCTAGATCTGAGGCCGAAGCTCAGATTGATGGATGCCGCCTCTTCACTACCCCTCTTCGTCCCTCCAACATCCTTATGAACGTCATATTCCTCGACGTTTGCAGTTGTGTAAAGAAGTAACTCCCCATCCAATCCTGCATCGAACCTCTGCCTAAAGGAACCATTGAAGATCAATGCTCCTCGACATTGTCATCGCTTGGAGGCAATGGAATCTCGTGCGATGGCAGGTGGCTGTACAACGTCGGGTCGTACGGCTGGCTACGAGCTTCGACGGGAGCACATCGCTGGCGTGAACATCCTCTCGGCCCTATTGCCAGCCTGCTGCTCGTCAGACGGTTGTCCATCTTTCTTGCCTTTTTCCACGACTGACTTGTCTGTTTCATTCCAGGAAGGCGCCGGAGTAAATAAAAGTGCAAGGTGACAACCACCACAAGCAACACAACGATGAGCAGCAGCCGCGGCAGCCTACGGTGCAGGTAAGCCATGAACGACACCAGAGCGAAGACAACACACACACTTGGCTTGTCGTATCTGCGGCAGGTGATGACACATGGCAGTCCAGAACACGCCAAGGAGAGCACAATCGTCAATGGAGCAGCTGGGAGCACGGGTAGAAAATCCAAAATTTTGACCGTAGGGAACCGGCCAGAACGCCACGAGTCTCCGAAGAGCCGCATGAAGACCCCTGTACGTCACCGCAAACCCCACCCCACAAGCCGCCTGAAGTTGCCCATGCGCCACACCGCGAATCGCCGCCAACCGTAAACTCCCGGAGCCGGTTGCAGGACATCGACAACAGACAAGGGCCCAGGATGTCCATCATGCGGCCGCCGGACCACGACAGGACCACCTACGGCCTCAATATTTCCTTCGACGCCCATGCCAAACCCCCGATGCCGACACCGAGTCAATTGTGGATGCAGACACCCCCCGTCAATTGTGGATCCTTGGGCTCCAAGGGACCTCGCGAGGTCCCTCGGACTGTTTTCACTTGTTTTCCCGAAAATAGGCTCCGAGGACAAGTGTAATCCTTGGAATAGTGTCCCCGAGGAGGCCGCAAATTATACTTGTGCTCGGGCCTGCTGGCCCTCCGGGGGGTGAACCACGAAATTATCCTCATGCCCAAAAACCGGGCTGGCAAAATTGCGGCTGTACCCACGCCGAGCGGAGGGCCCTGGATGGCATTTCCACGTCGAATCTGGAATGCACGTGGCCTTACATGCCGTTCAGATCCGCACGCCATCTCCGCTTGCAAGGAGGTAAGCTTCCAGATCCCTCTTGCCCTCTTCCCCATCCTTTTTCTCGTCTTCTCCCTCCTTTCCGTCTGCTTCTGCTTACCCTCCTTTTCTTTCCGCCCCCTCCCCCCTGAAAAAGAAAATCAATGCCTTTCTGTATCATCCACATTCATCATCATGATAAGTTTCGAATTGCTATTGAGAATTGGAGCAGCGAGAGGGCCGATGTCAGCACAGAAAGCTGATCCGCTCCCCGCCCCCCCCCCAAAAAAAAAGAAAAGTAAGCTACATTCTTTTCTCAATATGACCTCACAATACCCACCCACCACTACTCCTAATTATAGTATACTGATTGAAACCTGCTGGGGTTTTCGGAGAAAAAAAAGGGAAAAAAAAACTTGCTCGGGTTTTCGGAGGGAAAAAAGGGAAAAAAAACCTTCCTCGGGTTTTCGGAGAAAAAAAGGGGGAAAGAAAACTCGCTCCGGTAGGGATTGGCTCCCCAGATCGATTTCGACTGCTGCCACGCGGTCCTGGGGGTTCACCGCTGTCCTTCTCCCTCATCCATGCATACCCTCCTTTCTCTAACACTCGCCCGTGCGTCTTGTCCTGCTCTGGGATTGCCGTGTCATAGAGTCTGATGCTGTCTCTTATACACATCTAGATGTGTATAAGAGACAGCTCTTTCTCTCTCTGTGTCTGTGTGTGTGTGTGTGTGTGTGTGTGTGCGCGCGCGCACGTGTGTGTGCATTGTCATATTCGCTATGGACAAGTCTGCAAGAAAAGCATAGTATTTCGTCGTGTTTTCACTAACTCATTAGGATGTGGAGCCCCAACAATCTGCACAGCATGCATTTCACTGATGGATAAGGACTCGCCACGATGCCCAGAGTTAACAATACCCCTAAGAAAATTGGTCGGCGTTACTTACACCAACTCTAGTAGAGTGTCGGCCCAAACCCCTAACAAGAATGGCAGCAAGTCTGATAAACTAGTCTGTCACAACCATAAAACCGCCCCTCTACACACCCAGTCAGCCATAAGTACCCATTGGCTTGACCGCCAGGATGGTCCCTACCATAGCTGCATTGGTTGGCCTGAACAGAAAGTTTAGACAGAACATGTTGTGTATTGTCATATTCACTTTATGCAATTCAAGAAAAGAAACATGAGTGTGCTAGATTGTTTCGTCGAACTTGAATTGACCCATCAAAAGGTTGTATGTTTATATGTGTGTGTAGTACACGGGCAAAAAAGAAAGAGAGAAAGGGGGGAGGGGAGAAGGGGGAGGGGGGAAGGTGGAGGGGGAAAGGGGGAGGGGGGAGGGGAAAAGGGGAAGGGGAGAGGAAAGAGGGGGAAGGGGGGAGAGAGAGAGACGAGGGAGGGGATTGAAAGAGGTTAGTGAGAATATGGTAACGGTGGTAAGGTGGGCCATATAATAAAGATATGAGGGAAAGAAATCATGTAGGATGAGCGAGTTCACCATCCAAGTCCGTCGTAGTAGTAGGAAAAAAAAAAAAAAAACGGAAAGCTTAGCCTTAGGGTCAATGTAGGCGGATAAACCAAAGGCATGAAAATTAGCCTTTAGCGGGATTTGAATATTGTCAGTATAAATGATGACGATATTAGGGATAACAATGATATTTTCTTGTATTTTTTTAAATGGAAAAGAATTGTAATACACGTTGTTTCGCGAACAAAAAACCTAAACGTTAATATTTTCCCAACCCATTTTGCAATTGTATGTGCGCATGTGTGTCTGTGTTTCAAAAATAAAGAAAGAGGCGGAGAAAAGAAAGAGAGATAGAGTGAGGGAGAGAGAGACATTGCCCCACACGTACTTCTAAAAGACTTCTTTTTTTTTTTTTCTTTTTTTCTTTTTTCTATAGTTTTTTTTTGGGGGGGGAGGGGGGGTCATGTAAAGTCAGCACACAATCCCCTCATGGCTGTTTTTTTTTTTAGGGAGAGAGAGTTATATCCGTATGATTGTTATTTTGTTCCACTCGCTTAGGAATTGGAAAGTTGAATCTTTTACAATCTGCAATGTATCCTACCTCATAATGCTTTATGTGATAGATTGACTAACATGTAGTGTTGACAATTACGTTGTTGAGCGCATCGGGTCCCGCCTTTTTCGCAAAATGAGGGAGCCCTCCCCGACCGTGTCACGCAGAAGTAAAGAAAACAATTTGAAACAACTTGGGGACAACGCATACCCCCAGGGCACAAACTTATGGGTTGTCACCACCATTAACGACGTATCCCTACTGAGTTATTGACCCACCTACGAAAGTTTTTACGTGCAATTGCAGAGGTAGGTCAACTGATAACGTTTGTTTGTTTCGCTGCATTATAGGCACGCATGGTTAAACATCATCCGACCCCGAACAATGTTCATTCCCTAGGGAGCGGATCTCCTAGGTACAAAGCGTACGCCGGTCGACTAAGACGGTCTCAACCAAGTCGAAAACCCACAAAATAATCATAGTCCCTTAGAAGCACAACCAAAAAAAAAAATCATAGTCAAATATATTTATAAAGAATCGACCATTTGTCGATAGAAAAACATATCCGAATCAAATAATGGGTTGAATCAATAAATGAAAAAAAAATGAGCATTATATGGTATAACTGGTAAATCAAGACCGAAATAAACGTGGCCACCTCGGGTCGAACTCGATAAACAAAAAAAACATATTGAGCCGCCAACGGGGAGTTGATTCCAATAATAACCTTGATGCGGCTGACAACGTAGTCAGACTGCCTCAGTTTTGACTTGATGAAACGTGTTGCCAAAGTCATCCATTCCACCCTACCGTCGATCTAAGATTAAGTACGCACATACCCATCTCCATATGTTCTTGTCTTCTTTTTATGACAGAGTGTTTTGCTGATGATTATTGATCATATCCGTATTAGTCGAAGTATTGCATGTCTCACCCTCTAGGAAGTGGTATGGGTTACTCCTCCTCGCTCGAGCACCAGACTCGAATCTCAAAAGTCGGGTCATTTTCACCGAATCGGCAAAGTACCCCCCCGTAGAACGGGCTACTCTAGGTCGATAATAGAGCTGACTCTAAGAGCAATGAACCCCCGCCCTAAATACCTCTTAGAGAGAGAGACGTATTTACGGCAAGTAGATTTCAATTGTTCTCATTTTTTTTAAGTTCAAAATAACTTAGAAGAAAGGAGACAGAGGAGATAGAAAACAATGGTCACTTTTACATGTATAGGAATATGAGGTCATTGAGGATAAAAAGGGTAAATCTAAGAGAAATGTTAAGTCCAATTGACTTAATTTTTATTATATGCACGAATTTCTTTCACGGTACCTATTGAAATTATTAAATACAAAATACAAGTATTTATGACATGCATGAGGGTGAAAGGTAGAAAGAGAGCAATAATTTTCTTCATCTCAAATAAACATAATCAATCTCTTGTTCAAACATCTCACAATGAAAGGAAAAAAAAAGTTAAAAAAAAAACACGCATTCTCATACTTAAGTCATACCTCACCTTTTGCATACATGACTTACACACTCTTTTCTCTATGTTTTATTTTGTACGTTAAAAACAATCGGGGTCAAGCAAAGTGTGGGTTTACACGGTTATGAAGGGGAAATATAAGTCATTCAATTGACCTTGCGTGAAGTTTGAATTGACCCACCCAAAAATGACGAATAATATATCGATAAAAATAAAATTACCGTTGTAGTCCAATATATGTGGCCTATAACTCCAACATATGGTCTTCCCACTGAACAACAGTCCACGTGCTTCCTCAAGTGTCCGAATGGCAATAATCGGGTTAATTGAAAGGACTCAATTGAGATAACCCGCGAGAAGGGCGGTCCCAAAGTGAGCCATACGTGGTCCCATATTGTGCCAACGCAGTCCCAACGACGCCGCAAAGTTTCCAATACTATCTCAAGTCCACCAGCAGTCTCAAACTGCACTCCACAAAAATAAATTGCGTGTCGCCATGCGTCACCGGCCAAAATCGCCCACATCTTGCAGTTTGGAGTCCCAAGTCAATTCCAATTGGTCCTCAAAATAAATGGTCTCAAGCAGTCCCATACTAATGCCCACGACACTAGACGACCCCAAACACCAACACCGCTCGCACCGTGCGCTGCAAAAAAATAAAGGTGGCTCCGGGTGAAAACCACAAGTGTCATGAGCCCCGATTACTACTCCACTGCACGAGGCGCAAATTCTGACAACCTCCACACGGAACACGAGTACTCCAAGCAATGTCGCTGGTCTGCGTTCCAAATTGCACGATCCTAAGCGTGCACCACCGCCGATCCAACCTCTAGACCACATTGGAATCAGCCACAACCGCCATACAAAAAAAAAAAAAATACGGGACCACTGCTTGCAGCGCCGTCAAAACCGGTACCACGGCAGCCCCCCGACAATATCGTCTGGTCACACACCAAAACAACGACTCCACTATACAGTAAAATTTTGACAGCACTGTCCTTAAAAAAATAGCCCCGCAAACGCGCCAAAATTTTTCCAGCATAACCCCAATGAAAATATCACCATTGTCGTGTCGTCGGACAACCAGCACCTCCCCACACTCACACAAAATAAAATGTCGGAGCCACGTGATAAATCTGACAATATATTATCTAAAAAATAAAGTATGATGCATAACCACTTAAACAATACCTCCCCTTAAAAAGCAGCGTTGACGCGCCCGCACATCGACAACATAACGTCACTCAAAGGGAGGTTCAACCTGCCACACCGCTGCAACCATCCTACCATCTTCACCCGAAAATAAGGTTCGGGTATTATATCTGAATATCCGAATATAATATCTGCCGAGTGTTATACTCGTTTATGACGCCGACGCGTTATATTCAGTAAATTTGTGGTAACTTTGGTGAGACGATAAAATAATAATAATAATAATAATAATAAAATATATTTAAAAAAAATATTGTCTACGATTTCAATACGACAAACTTTTGGCTGAGGGTCATTTTAAAATTCCTTATAAACTCATAAATAAA